ATTTCACAGGCCACAGGTTGTGCCCCCTGTGGAACGGCCACCACAGGTAGACATCCCAACAGTTCTACCTGGGCAGGTTGCTCCCAGCACCCCAGTCGCACTCTCATTCAGAACCATGGTGCCCTACCATTGGCCTCCATTGCAAGCACTCAGTGCTGCATATACTGCAAAGACAGCAAACAGTCAGTCCCTTAATTGTGACTGCTGTCTTTATTCCAGGAAGGAGGTGCTTGTGGGATTTTCTTTTTCCCTCAAAAGTAATTTGGCTGGCCTTGCAGACTATGCACCTCGACTTGTCAGGCAGAGTGCTATTTGCTACTTCAACTCAGAGCAAGACATCTTGGGCCATCCATGAAATAATACAGGTGCTTTGTGGAAACAGTCGGATGGCAAACTTACATCAAGTCAATTGTGGAAACAGTAAAATGCCAAATCTCTCCAACGATGCTGGTGAAGGTTCCTCACGCTGATGTAGCAGTGGGCCAGCAGTGGGTATTTGCCGTAGCGGTGGAGATGGCCTCTATTTATTTATTCTTTATTTGTTTGTTTTCTGTGGCTCCTTCCTGCCAAAAAACAGAGGCTAACAACACAACAGAGGTTAAACACAACTTATCAATTAAAACTTTGTATAGAAATAATCAAAATCAGTATACAACAAAGAAATAAACAGCAGCAACCAGGTATTTATTTATTTATTAAAACATTTCTATGTCGCCCCTTGCCAAAGCCTCGGGGCGGCTTACAACACAATAAAATACAATAAAATACAAAAATAACAATATAAAATTAAAATTAACAACATAAAATAAATAAGCAATATAAAAGAAGTCGCCCTGGCCAGATAAATAAGCAAATATTGTTAACAATTAAAATGACGTTTAAATAAAAAGGTCTTCACCCGGCGCCGAAAAACAAATAACGACGGTGCCAGGCGGACCTCTCTGGGGAGCGCATTCCATAGATTGGGCGCCACCGCAGAGAAAGCCCTCCTCCGAGTACCCACCCTCCTAATTTCCTGCACGGAGGGTTCCTGGAGAAGGGCCTCTCCTGCTGATCTCAGGGGGTGGGAGGACATATATGGACGTAAGCGCTCCTTCAGGTAAGCAGGACCCAAGCCATTTAGGGCTTTATAGGTCATCACCAACACCTTGAATTGGGCCCGGACTTCAATGGGAAGCCAGTGAAGCTGACGGAGGACTGGAGTCATGTGAACATAACGCCCAGTCCCCGTCAGCAACCTGGCAGCTCTATTTTGAACCAATTGAAGTATCCGGACCGTCTTCAAGGGAAGCCCCACGTAAAGCGCATAAGGTATAGCTCTTTCAGCAATGGGCCACCTTTTGTGCTATAAGCTTTTCTGAATAAAAATGTATTTTTCCACAGGTAAAAATGAACAGGGAAGGAACCCAGCTAGCATCACTCAGCAGAGAGTTCCAGACAGTGGGTCTCTTCTTATGGTACCCCAGCTCATACTTTGCAGGGGTGGGTACCTTGTGGCCTCCCCAATGTCTACAACTCATACTGTTCCTTATCACTGGTTAATGTTAGAGGAGTATGATGGGAGTTGTAGGCCAAAACATCAGGAAGGCTACATCGCTCTCCCAGTCCTCTGCACCAGTCATACAAATAAATCCCTCCTGTAATCAAACAAGCAAGAGACCCAATGAGAGGCAAGCTACACAGTACGCCAGTAAGAAACATGAAGCTCAGCTGTAATGGCAGCTGCTTTGTCTGAAGAAGAGGAGGGTTGGGAGAACCCATGTTGACTGAAGTAGCAAGTGGCCACGGGAAGCTTGGCCCTTTTCACCAGCAATCATTGTATTTATTACCTTCCCCAACTTGCCTTTCCCTTTGCAAAGTTCCATTTGTCTCTCCAACTGCTGAATGTCACTCGCCTGTTTGAATAGTTCAAGGGTGTTCCTTGTTTACTTGGAGTGACTAATTCCTCTCCGTTCCCTTTTGCTCTGGGCTTCGAAGCAGACAAACTGCTTTTCACAGTCAGATGAATTTGCCTTCCACAGATGTGGGGTCTCCTTTTACTGCTTGAAATCTTTAGGATGGGTGCAGAAATATTCAAGGGGTTATTCTGAAAGTTCTCCACAATCTCCCATGTTGCTGTTCGGGTGGGTAAACAGATAGCATCTGCTTCTGGGTGTTGAAGCTGCTGGCCACACACCCGGATATTGACTTAGCAAGAGGTGCTTAGTCATATGTTCAGCCTATTTCACATGTTCAGCATATCTCATCTCCCCCTTGCCTTCTGTCATGGTCAAATATGGACTGGAATCGGTGTCTCCCAGGATCATGAAGCAAAACTGAAGATCCTGAGCTTTGCTACTGCACTAACAAGCCATGTTGGTTATGGGTTCTGGTTATGGACATCCTGATCAGACTGTGCCTTATTTATTTATTTATTTATTTATTTATGGCAGCAGGAATGCTTTAAAGTAATGTTAAAAGAATAAATAAGTACTGAAGCAGTTCGCAGCAGATATCCAAGCAATGCAAATGGGAAAAGGCAATTTTAATGCTGCATTAAACAGCATTAAAATTAACACAAGCAGTAATCAAACATTCTTTTCATATTTTGTCCTTATTTATTCATTTAAATGGGGAGAAAGAAAAACATATATACATCCATATATTAGTATATATGGAAATCAATGAATACATATGAAATGCATATGAAAATGCAACTTTCCAGTAATTATACATAAAGTTCAGCATAAGCAGATCAGATATACAAATATGTATTCATTTAATGATGGGAGTGTATATGCCACCTGTTCAAATATCGACAGAGCTATAAGGTCTTTAATCCAATGCATTACAAAAGCCAAGCAGTTATCCTTCCTATGTCACAATATCCAACTTTTAGCTGTCAAAAGAAAATGGAAAATCCATTGATGCTGACCATTTCTTAATTTCTATGAAGCAGATAGAACATTTAAAAGAGCATGCACATAAGGGCCTATTAAAGATAGTTACAGTGCAAAATATGTCTGTATAATATTTTCCCAAAAAGAAGCAACAACTGAATATTCCAAAACATTTTTTAAGCATTAGCCATGTTGGAGTACCAGCAATTGGTTGAATTAAGCAAACTATTATAAAAGAAATGCTGCAGCATTCAATAACAGCAGAGGAAAGATCTCTGCTGAATAAGATGCAACCAAGATGTATGGATGAGGCAGGTATAGATGTCAAAGCAGCAATCCATTGACTGAGCAAAATGGGATGATACAGGTATTACTACTACTACTACTCCATTCCTGCTTAAAACCTTGTACATCAGATTTCTTCACCAGTACAAAGTATTTCTGGACAAGGATTGTGGATTGCTTGGCCTGACCAGGTTCAATAAATATTTCCCGTAATGATGCTATGAAGGCTTCTGGGCAAAACCCAGCTGCTAATAAATACTGCAGTTATGAAGCATTGCCTTTCAGTCATAGCTGGCAAATAATATTTGACATGCAGGATAGAGAACAACAAGGAATCATCACCTGCACCCAACAGCTAACCCAAAGTAAAAATCACCTTATCAGTCCAAGTCTACTACAAAACCTTTTCTGATCAAAGTTTCGATCTGGATTGCACATCAAGTCAATTTTGCTTAAGAAAACAGATGACAGTGTAGTGGACATGACATTATATACTGCACATTTCTAACAGTAGAAACTGTATGAGAAATCTTACCCACTCTTGTATTCCTAAAACCTAATGCTACGCATATAGAATGAGGAAACTAGAAGCTTCCCAAAGTGACCAAACAGAAGTTACAATGTACGTGAGAAAGATCAAAATTCAGTACTAGTCAACTGATAAACCTGATGACATGCAGCAAGATCCAGAAAACCAAATTCATCTTTAATTGGAAAGTGCATCCTTTTCAAAGAAAAGTAGGGCAGAGAGGAACTACCCAAACCTTTATAGAACAAAGTCTTGATTTTCTGAAAACATCTGCCAGGTAAAGATAAAAGAATCCCATACACAACCAAAATAATCTAGAATATAACATTCATCTTGAATGTATTTACTGTGGCTCACAAGCTCAGCTTTAATGATGCACTTTAAAGGTATTTGCTTGGCACCACAGAGCCAACTAAGTAGATGACAGGTAGACCTCCTGGGACAGCGTATCACAATTTGGGGGCCCACCACAAATAAAGCCCACTCACAAGCAGTGATTTTATTAAAACTTTATCACTGTAGTGTTACAAAGTGTTCTTTTATTGCATCCCTTGGAATATAATGGTACCCTTGGAAGAGAAGTCCAGTTTAAAAACCAAGAACCTTCAAAAGGGAGAACTGGCTGCATGCAGCTTATCAGCTCATACACCGCTCACTTCTTCAAAGGTTTTCCAGACTATCGTGAGTTGTCACACAGAGATGACCGGTGTGGTGTCATGGTTAGACTAGGACGCAGGACATCTGGGTTCTAGTCCCCACTCAGCCATGACGCTGACTGGGTGGCTTTGACACAGTTACTGACTCTCAGCCTGAACTACCTACAGGGTTGTTGTGAGCGTAGGGAGAGGAAGAGAGACTGGGTAAACTTCCTTGGGTTCCTTGCAAGAGGAAGAATGGTGGGGTGGAAACGTCACACAGAAATAATATGTACAGTGTTACGATTTATTCAAAATAGAGCAATTTTCTATATGTACATCTATACACATAAATGTACAAATGCAGCTTTTATGCAGATCATCACCCTCTTTTGTGTGTGTGCAATCAATTTCCTCTTCCATGGTTATTGACAGGTGGCCATCCTACCTCTAAAGGGTACCATGGACATTTGCACTTTGCCAAAAAATGGGGCAAGATCCATCAAAAAAAGAGGGGGCAGGAGCATACCAGTATGACTCAGAATTTCATTTCTCAGACTTTGACACCGGATTCTGTTATCTATCCCTGCTGCAAAGTATGGCTAAACCCTGTCCAACCAGCCTTTTGTTGCCTAAAGGTCCATTTTTGTGTTCTCAAGCACAGCAGCCACAATGGGGAACAACATATCTCTACAAAAGGAACCTGAAGACCAAGAAACTGTTCAAGGAACTTCATATGTGCAGGTGAGTTTTAGTGGAGACTTTTTGTCTGTCTTGTCTTGGCTAGTGTTCTGTGTGGAAGTGACTTTATGTTGTGAATACAAAAAGGGCATCTTTGGGTGGGACACAACACAGGACGTCTAGTGCTAGCAGTCAAGTGGCATCCTGCAGCTCTCTGTGTTTTCCCCCTTAACAGAGTTTCTGCATTAAAGGAAAAGAAACAAGAAATAGCTGTTAAAGGAGGTTTACCAGTAGAAAACAATGCTATCTGGACCTCAGTAAGCCTCCACGAATGAGGCAGGGTGATGGGGTCACAAGGGCTTCCTTCTGGAGCGCTCATGAGCAGTCCAACACAGACTTTCTAAACTGCAAGCGATGCTGGCTGTATTTAGAGAATGGGAGGGAATCAGCAGGGAGAGGCAATCACTCAGCTACATAGTATTTGAATTTGCTTTTTACTTGGACTCCTACCATTGTGTTGGGCTTTTCAATATAAAAGTCGTGTGGTCTAACCCTCCAGCACCACTAGCTTCTTTTCTCCCTGCCTGGTGTTTGCCCTTTTGTTACTCTGTCCAAGACCTTTTCTGTGCAATGCTGCCCTTCCCTGTTCTTGCTTTGTGTGTCCTATTTGGGTTACCATGCCTTGCAAGGTGCTTCCATGCAAAGAATCCCTTGTGCAGTTTTAACAGGTAGGGCTGTCAGTGCATGTACAAGTTTGTTACCATTCTCCAGAAGGGTAGTGGATGCATGGTGGCAGGAGTGGATATTGGGGCTGCTGATATGGAAAAAATGTGAACAATTCTGCTCTGATCATCCAGTCTGTAGAGTGACCCCCACATAGGTGGAGTTCTCGCTATTCAGTGCTTTAACAAGAAGTATTACTAGCCAGGGCTGCTGGTTTAATAGGGATGCAATGGATTACTTTTGTTTTAAGGACAGAGAGTGATTTCTTCCCATAGTTGTGCTCCCTCCCGCAACTCCAGGGCAGGTCATCATGATTCTGGTTTGTTTGTGAGTGTCTCAGGATGTTCTAGAGCACAGTTAGAGCTTCACTGCCTGGAAGCCTCTGCCAGCAAGGAACGCTGGCTGTTGAAGCCCCAAACATATGGAGATCGATGTTCTGTGCATCCCTGCTCTAAAGAAGAGGGATGAGTTGCAGAGAACAAGTGACTTGAGTTTCCACTCTCGCTGCTTCAGAGTAGGATGTTGCATATTCTGACACTGCATTGGTAGATCGGATTCCCTGTGGAATCGGTCCACAGCTAACGAACTATTGTCACAGAAATAAGGTCTCTGTGCATGAACAAAGTGATCCATTGCACCCATACTAGAAATTACTTCTAGAATCTAGACCCTTCCAGATCTATGCAGGCCCTCTAATTGGGTGGCCCTCCTAATCCAGCACCATGTCATGGCAAGGGATCAGACTGGGCATTGGCTCATCTCCCTCCTCTCCCTTGTCCTTTCCCTTCACTTCCAAACCCTCTCAGTTCCCATGGTCTGCCTGAGCACATGGAGGTAACCTCACCTTCCTCCACCATCTCGATTCTCACATTCGTTTCCCAGCTGTCTCAGTCCTCATCCAAAGAGTTGGTGCAACCCTGACCCTAGAAAGCACTTCATGAATAATTCCTCTTTCCCAACACAGTGTCAGAGCACAGAGGAGCGCAGGCTATTGATGGCTTCCAGTTGAGCTGCTGGTCTAGAATATTCTGAGCTCCTCTCCATGATGAAACGGAATTGTAGAGCTAGAATTATTGGTGCCCTTCATTCAAGCTCTCTGTCTTACATAAGCAAATGGCACTGAGTGGAGGAGGCCGAAGCTTCATGGATGCTCATGTGCATGTTGATCAGGAGGGATGAAAAGAATCTCTGAGCATGCAGCTGGGTGCTCAGAGTGTTTTTCCACATGCTTTCAGGACACCTGCTCTTTTGTCGTCTTGATGGCATGCTGTGAGCCTCATCACTGCAGCTCGTGAATCAGCAAAACTGTTCAGAGGAACAAAGCTGCCAGGAAGCCATGTCACAAAACCACTTCTCTTCAAATTATTGGGACCCTATCAGGGTTTTTTGGTTGAATCACTGTTTCTCCCCAACTTTAACCTGAACTGAGCAGCTGTTTCTTAGTGCAGTGCATCTGTGACAAAGAAGTTCTGGCAACTAACTTTTTGGTTAATGATGCAGGTTTCATCAGAACCTCCTGGCGTCCTCCAAAATGGGCATGTTGAAATCCAGCCTGTACAGACCGATCCTTCTGCAAATGGGGATGCAGGTATGTTCTGAGAAAGAGCCTGTGATACCCATTTGTATCACCTGGTACAATTGTGGCCGTGTTGTGCTGGACACAAACGAGGTGAAGGAACATTATTTCAGTAGCAATGCTATAACTGGTGAATCATCTTCATAATATAATGGACAATGCATTGGATTTGCTCAGACGTAGGAAGTTTGCCAGTTCGTGTTAGGCATGTCATTACTTGCCTAGCCTACCCTGCAGATGTTGAGAGGATAAAATGGGATGACCCTGAGATCCAAGGATGACGTGGAAATGTGTTAAACATCTAAGCACCTTCTCAGATGGTTGCTTGTGTATTATTTATTTATCAAATTTATGTACTGCACCCAATAGTTCCACCTGGGATTCCTTTCTGAAATAGTGGCTATGATAGACACTTTAGGTCAGGGTTTGGGTGAGCCAAGCACACCCCACAGACTGCATGCGGCCTGCTGCCCCATCCCTGCTGCTTCTGAACAAACTTTTGAAAGAAAATGCATGCATGCCAGCTAAATTTGGCCATTTGGGCTCTCCATAGACACCGCAAAGCATCAAAAGAGCCCAATTTAGCTTGGGAATAAGTTAGGTTTAACCACTATAGAACTCTATAGTGGGTCTCTGCTGAGCTTCAGCAGTGAACCTGCCCTTTAGGCACTTTTAAAAACAATCCAGTATGTGATTGGACTTCAAGTAGCTTGGCTGGATTCTCCCTTCGCTGCTCCTTCAACCCTCTGAAGCATACCCAACAGCATGCGGAGAACAGCTGGGGAGATGGAAGTCCCTTCCATCGGTACTTCCTCCACCGCACACAGACTGTTACTGTACTGACCTGCAGTCTCCTGTATCTTATGATGTGCAAATAGGGGTTTCTTCTGGCTTTCAGTATGCCACTCCAACAGCACCTTTTTGAGTACTACTTTGATGCAAGAACCCCAACACCACTTGGGCTCTAACACAGGCTGCAGAACCTCAGACCTAGGAGCCAAATCCAGACAACCTGGGATCCCACTCCAACCCTCTCGGGTTCCTCATTCTTAGATCATGGACTAGACACAACATAATATACTTTATTCTGCTAAGTGAATGATCCTAAGGTGCCCAGGCATCACCTCAAGGCAGGCACAGGTAATTCAGATTCCAAGTGAGCTGACCTCATAGGGGGGAATCCACAAACCATCCTCCCTCCCTCGCACAGGCAGTTCAGAAAGAACTATGCCAGCTGCCTCTCCAAGGTCAGAAAATCAACCTCAGAGAAGGAGCAAAGGAGGTGTTTTGGAGGTCAGGGAATGAAGAAGAAGAGTGGAGCTGCCAGGATATGAGGTCTCCAGATAGCATCCCAGCCTCCTTTTATCCCCGTCCAAAGGCACGTGGCCATCCAGCTGAAATGAAGGGCAGGAGGTTTGGGGAGGCAGAGCGAGCTTCCGTTGCTGTCCCCACTCCTGAATGGATGATACTCCGGATCCTTCAAGTGAGGGCATTTGGGAACACTGAGCATGCAACCTGTAGAAATGTGCCCTGAACTTGCATTCTCATACACTGATGATACTGTGCCACAGATGAACGCTCTCACCGGTTTGCCATTCTTATTTCTGTTATGCGCTACTAATTGCAGAAGATATATACACATTATCTAAATTAAAGAGACATTAATCATGTTGGCACAGACAAGGTCTGAGAGCTCAGAATGACTCAGAGCCAAGGATAGCATGCATGAGATAAAATTTTCAAGACAAAGACCACATGCCTAGTCACACCCTTGGGAAAACCCTGTTATTTGTAGTTTTCTTTGCTTCTGTGTGACTCTATCAGTCCATAAAGGTGTGGAGAAGTGTGTATATATACTCAGGGCATGGAGATCCATTTGAAAAACAAAGGGGAAGAATGTTATGTGATGAGCTGTGATACGATGACTGTCCTCGCTATGGCTAGCCCCGTAAAAGTCAGCCTCCTTAAAATCCCAAATGGGCTCACTGCCCACTTACATTGGAAACACCAGTCCACACAGAGGCAAACGGAAGCATCTGAAGAAATCACTCTCTGCACATTTATTTATTTATTTAAAACATTTCTATGCCGCCCCCATCACAACAAAGCCTCGGGGCGGCTCACAAAGAATACATAAAAACATACATAAATAATAGTAATATAACAATTTAAAAGAAAAAAACATTTAAAAACCTCCAGTGCATTCTCAGCTTATTTTAAAATCCTAATTAATTCAATAATTTAGCAATTAAAATAAGTTTTAAATAAAAAGGTCTTAGCCTGGCGCTGAAAAACAAATAACGACGGCACCAGGCAGACCTCTCTGGGGAGTGCATTCCATAGATGGGGCGCCACCGCAGGGAAGGCCCTCCTCCTCCACTCCCACATGCTCTGGGTACTGTCTTTTTGATATCTGCATCAAATGTTATGGGGTTACAAAATTAGCTATGATCTCCTCTGGCATTAGTTTACAAAGAAGCAGAACAGAAAATGTTGTTCAGCTGAGAAAGGATGAGAGGTGAGCCACTTTTGGATAGCAGGTTGATGGCTTCCAAAACCACTTTTTTCCCCGATGGAATATTTGGACAGTGGGCTGCACTGTTTCCTGGATGTACCTGCTGGATCCATTCACATATACAACTCATACAAACGTGCACATATGTCTGCATTTCTCAAGATGAGAAGAGCCCTCCTCCATCAGACCCAGGGTCCATCTAGTCTAGCACTCCATTCACACCGTGGCCAACCAGGTTCCCACAGGGCCCTACAAGACCTGCACGGCTGCCCAGGTTCCACAGCCACTGGTGTAGCAAACAGCAGCCATTGGTACCCTTCTCCTCCATGGATGGCTTTGACAAATAGGTTGCCATTAGATTGTTTTAAAAATCCTGCCCAAGACCTTACAGGACCACTTTGAAAATCAGTCCTTGTCTGCCTAGCCTTGCCAATTGCTTCCTGTCTGAGTTCACTTGATTATGTTCTGTGTATACTGCATAGGTGGAGGTGCAGATTTTTAGCACAAAAAGTCAATGTGTCGATACCATGTATAAGTTGTGGGTGTTGGCTCAGCCTTGGAATGATTCATGGTATTTGAATAGGTCCTGACTCATCCAGAATTGGACCTATCACTCCTGTCTTCCATGCTGTGCTCTCCGCAAAGGAGTAAAGGAACCTGCCCATGGCTTGTGTGAAAACTCGCACATTCATGCATGGTGAGCTTTCTTCAAACCTGCCTGACCAGCCACTGGGGGTTCAACATACCTCCAGTTTCTTGTTGTCTGATGCAGAAGCTAAAATAAAATACGGTACTCATGGGAAGGACTAGCAATGTGCAGACTACGGCAGGTAGGTTGGCCTGGGACAGGTTAACCTGTCTGGAGGTTAAACCTTCCTGATGCTGTTTGCAAGCAGCTCTTCTGGAGATGTTAAAAAGTTCATTTGAACTTTGAAAAAGTTCATTTGAATTAAAAGTATAAGCACATATCCCTCACTGCTCCCTGTCCGTATTCCATTTGAATCTTTTCTTTCCTTATGTGAATGCTGCTGCATGTTTTTGCAGCGTTTGCAGCCAATTGGATTATTTATTATTATTTATTTACTGTATTTGTATAGCATTGCATACCTAGGCAGATACTTTGTCAACAGTACAAAGCTAAAACAAATAAAGAAACAAAAACAAAAGATTGCAAACTAGAAGACCGGAAAACCATAGCTGCCTGACAAGAAGGGCTTTCCGGAACAAGGATGTTTTCAGAAGGGGATGCAAACAGCATAATATGGGAGCCTGCTTGACTTCCAGGCAGGGAATTGCATTGAAATGGGGTCACCACACTGAAGTCTCTGTTATCAGAATGTTATCTGATGACTTCAGTGACCAGATGGATGATAAAGGAGAAGGCATTCATTCCCTCAGTTATCCTGGTCCCAAGTTACTCAGGGCTTTGTATATTAGTAATAGTACTGGAATTATTATCAGGTGCCATGATGCACCAAGCTTCACCACAACTGCAGTTTAACAAGGCAATTTGGTCGTGCGGATTCGATTCCAAGGACTGTGTTGTGCAGAGCAATACTTAGCTTGCAAGGATGCAGCACCAGCACTTCTGAAACTCACATGGATGCTGATGTCACTGCCGCCCTCCATGCCTTAGAATTTCCTCTTTCCTCTGAGCTTCACTCTAATCCTTGCAGGAGCTGAAGTGAAGGGGTGGGAATCCCAGTCACCAAGTGTTCCTGTCATGGCTGGGATGCAAAATGTTTTGGGCTGGCCAGGTCCTGAAAGGGCCATTAAGACCGATTAGCCTTAATAAAAGCCTGTTCGTGACCATGACTGGTTTGTTAGATCAGTGCAGCCATCTGTGCACTGTTATACTGAGTGCCTACACTGCAAAAATGTATTTCTACACCACAGTGCAATTTTTACACTGCAGAGTACAATTTTTACTCAAGGCTGCCTCCCCCTAAGCCCTCCTGTGATTTTATATCATCTCATAGGAAGTATCTACATATCTTTCCTACATACAAATAATACACTCAGTCTCCTTATGGAACCATACGTACACAAGATGGGAGTGTCTGCAGGCTTGGAGGAATCTCAAGCTTTACAGAAGTGCAAATAAACCTTGAGAAAAGAGAAGGATAAGGAAAAGGTTCCTCCCACTTCCAAAAGGGTTCAGCAATAAGGTGCAGACTGCTCAGTGACTGCTGGAATGAAGACAGAAAACCAAGGGAATGAAATAGAAAGAAATATTTGACTTTACGGCAGGTATTCCCAACCTTTTAGAGACTGTGAGACATCTGGGAATTTGAGAAACAGCTGTGGACGCCACAATAAAATGCCTAATCAGTGGATCACTGCTTGGGCATCTCCTGGTTGCATCTGTGGCTCTTAGGCTGGGCCTCATCCTACAAAGACTTTAGTTTCATGTCTGTTAGAGACCACAGCATCTTTCAGATAAGGGGCTGCCTAATTCAGCTACTTGCTAGCAGTGCAGTGCAGCTAGTGCTATCCT